CAAAACAAAAAAAAGGTCCTAGGAAAAGACTCATTTTATAAATAAAAAGGGCTGGGGATACAGCTCAGTAATAGACGCCAGCTTTCAAAAAAGCTGAGTTTTTTTGTTCCTATTGTTTTCTTTTCTTCCCATAATGAATGCAATCTTTTTCAAATGAGTCAGCTGCTTTAATGACTTTTTATTTTTTTATTTGCTTTAAGTCAAAGAGTTAGTTGATGGCAGAGCTGGAATTAAAATCTATGGCTTTTTTTCTTCTAAGATTGCTTCATGGTCTCTTCATCAGATGACAAATTGATTAGAAAATTGTTAGTGTCCTGGTTTGTGTAACATATGTATTGTATTTTTTAAAAAAAAAAAGAAGAATTAGACAGTGGATTCCATGCCCTTTATGACTCAGGGTTGTCACTGTGATGACTACTAAGTGAGTGTAAGGTGCCAGGAGCCTGCGGGGTGTGCGGAGCAGACCAGATCTGCCCTTCCCAATGCTTCCCACCTCTCCCTCACTGCGTGGTCTTCGCGACTACTCCTTGGCCTCCTGGATTGGGCAGAAGGTGAGGGGCACTGGGAAGAAAGGGCAGGGGATGCAAAGGCCTGACATGGCTATCAGGAAGCCAACCCTGAATGAAGACACAGGATCACTGTGGATCTCCAGGACTGCTGACTTCCTGCCTATCAGCAGAGTTCCAAAGTGAGGATTTACTCTGACTCCCGCAGCCTCCACCTAGACCACAAAGCATCACAGTCAAAGCCTTAGAGGAAGGCCAAGTCCCTGGACCAGGCGGGCAGCCAGCTAGATCACTTACTAAGGGTCAGGGAGTAAGACCCCAGCCCTGCCACCTTTGCCTTTCAGAGGTAGGAGTGGGCGGGGTCCCCCAACTTTTACACTCCAGCAGGCAAGATGCCTCACGTCTCGAAGCACAGTCTCCCCACATTCCTCCTCTTCACAGCGAGGGCTCTGGGCAGGTGAAGACTTGCTGCGGTCCCCATACACTCCCCTGGAGGTGCACACAGGGGACAGTCGTGCTGGGAACTCTCAGCCTGCTCCGCTCCAACTGGCCCTGGCCTGCGAGAGCTCACACTCACCATCACCTCTGTACCCACTTATCTGAGCACTGCGACCGCTGCCCATTCTTACAAGACCAGACGCGCACTGCTTTGAAATCCCAACCTCAGAGCTTCCCTAGGACTGGCCATGACGCTGCCTCTTCCTGCTGATGGTCCCTAAGTACCCAGGGCAGGTTTTGCTCATGATTTGGCTGGTAACAGTATACAGCTTAGGAGCCACAGAGATGCTGTGTAAGTGCTGTGCCCGCCAGAGGAAGTAAGAAGACACAAGAGGCCAAGGAGACATGCCCGCTTCAACAACCTCTCCTCTGTGTGACTCAGTAAGGAGCTGTAGCAACCGAAAACCAAAACAGCACCTGAAAGGATTTTTGAAATGCTAACAAGATCCCCACCAGCTTCCCTACAAGAAATTACTTCTCTCTGACTTGTCCAGAACAGTGGTGTTAACAGGCAAGCCAACCAAAATAAGAGTATTTATACTGGAATTCAGGTTTCTTTTGGTTGACAGCAGGAAAAAAAGTTTACCTAGTTGAGCTCTGATGACCCTTAGTTCCCTGAACCTCACTGCATTGGAACTAAAAGTTCTGCCAATTATTATACTAAATACACAAAGTTAAAATGAGCATCAAAAGCCAATCACCTTGCACATCTAGGGAACAGCCAGGCTCTGTCTGATTTTACACCACAAACCAACAAGATATTAGTCTGTGCAGGAGGCAGGAGGTGGAGTTCAGTGGCAGAGGGAGTGCCCTGTACCACACCAAGTAAGGCCCAGCATCCACCACGTGAACAGCGGAGCATCTCAGACACCAGAACAGAAGAAGTACCCCCACCAGTGACCCACCCGTTCGTCCTCCTCCTTGCTGATCAAACACACAATCCACTCCAGGACGCAGACTGAAGGTTTAGTAAAACAGAGAGAGCACTGTGCCCCGCCCAGACTTCAGTCCCAGTGAAGTTGCTATCCAAGTTGCTATCTCCCCCCCACCCCCATCCACCCAAATTGCTGAGCCAGAATGGTGTCCTCGCAGCGTGGATGTTTGAGAACTGAGGGCTGATGTGCCTCGGCCGTGGGGGGCAGTGATGGTGGAAGACAGCTTTCCAAAGGGAAAAGGCTGGTCCACCTGAATGCACAGTCATGGTCTGACCCAACCAACGCTCCACCACTTTCTAGCACTGCCTGTAACTTTCTGGCCCCAGGGGACATGGTAGCCTGCACTCTACCCTAATCTGACTTCCTCCCCCCATGCTCCACTGCTCCAGGCAGCAGTTAAGACTCCTTATCTCTCGAACTCAGGTTCAAGAAACAGGCACTGAGACCCTGAAGGTAAAGTTTACAAGTCATGCATCACAACCCCAGATGGGCTATCAGTCCGTCCAGAGGTGGTAAGACTCATACATCAGAAGAGCTGGGACCCAAGCTTGGCTCTGTCATTGATGTTTCGTGTGGCCCTGGGCACACTAGGTGACAACTTAGCATTCAAGGTCCTCCTCTTGAAAGTGGGGATGATAAGAATACCACATCTCACTGAGTCAGCCAAAGGAATAAAAAGTCATTTGATAAAGTGCTACAGCAGTTCACAGTACCTAATATTTTTCAAGTACTATTATCATGACTAAAACCACTAGTACTGCTATGGTCATTACTACTGAATATGCTGCTACTACTAACAGTACTCAAGTACTATTGTTGCTGCTGAGTACTACCCCTGCTGAGTCCTGCACTAGTACCCCTCAGTATGAACCCCATGTGTGCCATGTTCTCTGTTTCCCACTTTTCTGCCATGACTGTACAATAATCAAACTCTTAAAGGAGAGCCCAACATTCTACCAATTGCACCCAGTCCTAGCCTTCCTGCATCCACACACACCTGCAGCTTGACAGGTGTGACATCGCTGCTCCCAGACCACAGTGAGGCTGACACCTCTCACCCAGCTTCTGCAGCCTTGACCTCTGTTCCCACATCTCCAGAAAGCTTGCCCAGCAAGACTGAAGCTCATTCTGAAATGAGACCTGGTCACCATCTGGAACCTAGAGACCCCACCCAAGGACAGGTGTCCTGTGACAGAAAGGACATCCAAAGGCTGGATTCAAACCCAGCCCCATGGGCTGTCCTTCAAAATCACCAGTTTCCAATTTCTTAAGTACCTGCTAATAAATGAAAACCAGAGAGCAAGGTAGCTGAGCAAGGTCTGGTCCAAGAGATGACTTCACACCTGTGTGCAGCCACTCTGACGCCACCCATTCCTGCCACACCTCACTAGACACCTGTAGTAGGCCTCGGGCACATACCAAGGCTCCAGGGCTCCCAGATCTGAGATTCCCAAAGACGCCACTCTCTGAGGCTACATGGCCACACTTAGCCAAGAAACCCCACATGCAGGCCACGACAACTCCAGCTTGTTACTCTTTTCAAACTGAGACTCATTATGACCATGTAGTAGCACCATCACCAGGCTGCCTGGAACAGGTCGCAGATGGACTAGGGAAACCTGAGGGGCTTCTGCACCATCTCCCACCCCCAAGTCAGTCCCACTGCCCCACTTTCCATGAGGACAAGACAGCCTCCAGGTGGTGGCAGGTGCCCTTTCAAAGGTGGCATTCACCTTCTGGAACACTGGCCAAGACACTTTTATTGCCAGTGAGAACTTCAATCTCCCAGGCTCATCCCTGTACCCATCACTTGACAGATCCCCCAGTTTTCTCCAGTGGTGAAGAGCAGAGCCCAGCACCCACCTGTTCCTGCCTCAATGTCTTTTAACATCCACAGAGCATGTCAGTGGAAGCCACACCTCCCTATGCATGTCAAATTAACTGAACCACCCACATTACCCCACCAAATAGACATGTGACAACTATCCACCCTCCTGCATCAAAAAACACCCTTTTCTAGAACTATAACTTCCACCCCTGCTACTCTCATGCATTCAGGACCTCTAATGTCCCTAAGGCAGCAGTAAAATGCCACAATAGGCATAAGTCACCCACCCAGACTTTCAGCATCCCCTCCAACAGGCCACAGACCAGAAACTGGCAGGCTACCTGCCACTGAGCCCCAGGAAGCACACTGTCTTACTGGAGAACCCCAAAGGAAAAATCTATGAGGTACAAAAGGTCACCATCCACATGACTTTACAGGTCCTTGATCTTCCACTAAGTAACTATTTCTACATTCTCTGCAATGCCCAGCTCCCAAAGCTCCACCTTCAACCAGCAATCCATCCAACAACAAGAGACCAGGATGGGAGCTGATGAATTCACAGGAATTCAAAGAGAAGCTGAACCTCCTCCGCAGACAAGGTGTGGCTCTCAGAGCCTGAGGGCCCACTAGAAGCAGGTCAGCTGTCAGGAGCTCTGGCCAGCTCTGGCCTCTGCAGTTAACCAATCCAGGTACAGGGGCCCAAATTCTGTTCACTTAGGAAGACAGAGGTGACAATACCTTACTGGAAAAGCATTTATCAGATTTGGCATGACTGAGATGACAATTGTTTTTTGGACACCAGTAAAATGTCTTCTGCTATGCTGGGCTCCAATCCAAATTTACTCACTCCCAACCCCAGGATGCATCTCCTTGAGGCCATACGATCCTCTTTTGATCAAGGATAACTCTTATCATTCAGAACATTTACTAAGCACCAACACTACTCCAGCATGGTATGAAACAGTGCTATCCTTCTGTGATGCAAGATTTTAATTGGTTAAAAGAAAATACAATAACTTCAGTTGCTTACCTCCTTACCCCTTCCAATGATGAATGCAACTGCATCATGCTTCTACACGTGGTTTTTATACTCAGACATCAACATACTTTTAAAACCCATTTGGCCACTTCTCTCCCATGGGCCCCATTCTTTTTATTACTGATCCTTTGCATCATGTCCACTCTGTGTATACCAAAATAACTTTTAGCTGGGTATAAAAATATTCAATTTACCTCAATTAATGTAAAAATTCCCAAGATCACATAAGACTTCCAGTAACACTTTATGATTGCTTTTGTTAAAGAAGGCTTCTGTGCATCCTTCTCCGCTCTCAACACCTCTTTATCCCAGTACCTACAAAGAAACACAAGCTGGGTTAAGAAAAGCACTCGCTGCCATGGGGCAAAATGGGGGAGACGGCAGAGGGACAGGGACACGGTGACTGCAGGGCTTTCTGAAACTATCAACAAACACAGGCTGTAGGGCTCCTGAGAGAGATGTGGCACAAACTGGAGCACCAAAAATAGAAGCCTCGAGGGGAAAAGTCTTGGGACAATGATTACTAACAAGTTTTGCTGGATTTACAAAACCCTCAGAAGCAGGAGAAGACAGACAGCACAGACAGTCAGACACCAGGTTTGGTGATCCCAGCTCTGGGGACAGACCTCAGACTTCCACCAGGGCCTTTGGCACTGCTCCCTGTTCTTCTACAGAGATGCGGGAAACACAGGTTTCCCTCACCACAAGGTGGGCCAAGACCAGGGACAGCCTGAGGGGAGGAATGCAGTGTCCAGGGAACTAGGCTCCAGAAAAGCCCAGTGGAAGGCCAAACCCACCCCAATTAGCCACACACTCGGTCTTCCTTACCCTTCTCTTTACTGCCTCCCGCTTACCCTTGCAGTTCCTCTCCAAGGTGCTTGGAGCGATCTTGTGGGAGCACTGAATACATATCATCTTCCTCTAGTCTGCGTTTATGACCAATTTTAAACAAGGGGTTTAGCCACCTGGTAAAAAGAAAAAGAAAAGGAGAATGATAGACACCCCAAATTGCACATGTGTGTCTAAGGAGATTCCTACCCCTGTGAGTTTTGCAAAAATCTGCTATTTAAATGCACATATCTATAGGAAAAAAAAATGAATGTGTGCTGACACATACGCACACATATACCCTAGCTCTATCCACTGAGAGGCTCTAGAGGCATTGACGCCCCAGTAACAGAGAGCATTCCAGCACCCAGATCTAGGTTTCTTACTACCCTTGTCCCCTAAAAGGAAGCAGGGCTCCTGGAAGAAATGGCTGATCCTGCAGCTGGGGCAGAGAAGGTACAAGACGGGCCAGGAACATCTTCTAGCACCATAAAAAAGGAAACATTCAAGGAATCCCGAGAATGGGTCCAAAGGACAGAGGAGCCAACCTCAAGAGGTCCCAGAGGACAAATTTGGGATAGTCTGAGCAACCAAATTAATAATGATAGCAGCAAATCATAACCCACCAGATAACAAGAGAATCCACATCCCTGCTGAGGCCTAACAGGGAAGAAAGGAAATGGTCCTGCACAGCAGGAATGACAGAGTTAGAAAATCATCTATGAAAGCTGAAACCAGTGAGTCGAAGTTTGATGAGAAACAGAATATCTACACAACCTCCAATTATCTTCCTACAAATTACTTGTTATGAAAGGAAAAAGAGCAACTTGGTATAGGAACCAAAAAAGAAATCAACTATTTTGGGATTCTTTTTACCAAAAATAAATAATAAATACACACACACACATATATATTTTCAGTATTCATTAGGAAATATTTAAATAAAAATGTACAACCCAAAGATAAACACTGATTTACCAATTTTGCCAGGATAAGGACATTTCCAAGGCCAGACAATAACTAGTCTCATTGATGGGTATATCCCTCAAACAGCTCGGCCAAAAGGAGGGGCTCCAGAAACATATGTTGAATATGAATGTATGAATCAATGGGGATGCGATCTCAGAAACGGATCGCATTCAGACTTTGCTAACCTTGGGAACTTGGTCCAGGAGCTGGCAGATGGGATTCTCAAACAGCCCAGTACTGAAGACTCAGGGTTCCCACAGCCTGTCATTCCCCACTCCCACTTCCAGAAGTCTCAATTTCCTTCCAAAAAATGTATGCACGCACACACGCACGCACACACACACACGTGTGTGTATGTATACACATATACGTATGTATATCTGTGAGCTTTACCACCAAACAGATTTGAAAACCTATAGTTATTCTAAGCTCAAGTCCTTGGCACTGGAACTGACATGGATGATACACCCCGAGAAGCCTCCTTTAAAACTCCTCTTGTGTGTGTCTCTGCTAGAAATCCTCTGGGGTTGAGTCTAGACTTTGAAGAATCAGGCTGTGTAACTTGGAACTAGCCCTCATTCTCCCTGAGTGTGGCCTTGGGCTTATCAAGAAGACATCTGGAGGTAAGAGGGTCAACTGGAGTAGCTCTGAACAAAAATACAAAGTTCCAGCAGATAAATATCAGCCATCACCCTGACACAGACCCGAACCATTAGAAAGCCTCTCATAGATTTGAAAGATGAAATCACTCAAATTCCTTTCATCTTGGCTCTCTGTCTGCATGACATCTTAGCAGGCATCTTTTACATGGTGACATCTATCTACTTGGAAGCCCTCTCCACGGAGAACCTGCTGCTCAGAGATTTCTGCTGAAATTAGCTGGTGAGCATTCAGACACTTCAAGCAAGCTGGTGTCAGAGTCAGCTTCAATCCAGCTCTACCTCAGAATCAGGAACTTTGAGAGCTTTCTAAAGGCACAAGGTTTGACCCAGGAGTTGCAGTTCCCCAAGTTTGGAGCAGGCATTTCAGGAGTATCCAAGATAACTCAGGATCCAGCCCCTCACAACCCACCCTAGTAACTCCAATCCACCCAGAGGGAAAAGGAAGCCAATTGGCTCACTTCTTTCTCCCCACCTTCCCCAAGAAGTTTCCAGAAAATTTTACCCTAACCTGCCCAGGTGTGTTTCCTAGACATGTCTGAGGTGACTTCTGCACACCTGGGGCCTTTCCTTCCAGTAGAACACTACCCAGGATTTTCCAGCAAGTACTTCTACATTTTGGAATTCCTTGGTGTCTTTTCAGACTAAAGAGCTTTTTCAATCAGGGTGCAAAACTGGCTTGGAGAAGAGAGTTGAAAAGTTAAGGAAGGGACTGAGGGTGCAGCTCAGAGGTACAAGCACATGCTTAGCTGGCACAAGGCTCTCGGTCCTCTCTCCTGCACAAGAAAGAAAGGAAGGATGAAGGGGCTGGGCTCAGTGGTAGAGCACTTGCTTATTAGCATGTGTGCGGCACTGGGTTGGATTCTCAACACCACATATAAGCAAATAAATAAAAAAAAAAAATTTAAAAAGAAAGGGAGGGAGGGATAAGGACATTTCAGAGGGAAGAAGGGAAGGAGGGAGGGGAAGAGAGAGAGAGAGAGACAGAGAGAGACAGAGATGGAGGGTGGGTGGGAGAGAGAGGGAGGGAGGGAGGGAGGGTGGGTGGGTGGGAGAGAGAAGGAGGGAGGGAGAGAGGGATAACTGTGCTCCACTAAATGAGCAGTTAAAAAGTAAGGTGTCAAAATTGAATTAAAGTATCTGAGTGTGGGCCTTGGGCTTATCAAGAAGCCCAAGGAGCACAAACTCAGATTCTAAAAGAAGATGCCACACATCATCTAGTACTCGACCCTCCCAGTCCCTCCTCTCACCACCCAAATCACAAAAAGCTAGGCTGAGACACATGGTTTAATTTCCACTTGATGGCAAGCTACTGTGACAGAAGATTAATCTGTATAAGGAATTTGACCATCTGCATAAGGAATTATATACAGTAGTGCACCACATAATGCCATTTGAGTCAACAGCAGACTATGAATGTGATGGTGGTCCCCAGGCCTAGATGGTCTAGTGACATTGTAACTGTCTTCATTTGTGTAAGTGCGCTATTGTGTTTGCAGAAGGACAAAACTGCCTAGTCATGATTTCTCAGGACTCATCCCCATTCTCAAGCAATGGATGACTGTACGTGGAGTCCCGTGCCACTTGGCACCTGCATTTCAATTTGCCCCTGAGAGGTTTAGTTATGATTCCAGGCCACTGCTAAAAATCCACCTCTGCTCCCTGCCCCAGTCCTTCTCTCCAGGGTTAGTCCCTTCACCTTCCTCAATCCTTAATATACAAGGGCATCGTTTCTCTCATAACTGACTGGACATGAACAGTGACTCCTTCCAAGCAGTGACTGCTCCCAAACTACCTGGGACCCTCATTATCAAACAAGCAGTGACTGCTCCCAAACTACCTGGGACCCTCATTACAAAACACAGCCTTATATGGGATACATGCACAATAAACAGCTACTGAATGAACAACAGATGGCTGGGTCACCTTGAGCAGTGACCTAGAGTGTAACTCAACAGAAACTCGATATAATGCAGTCCTGCTCATTTCCAAACACAGGGAGCCATCAGCTCCAGAGAAATAAGGAGGTGCCCAGGGGAGATATCCTGCACCCCAGTATCAGAGCCCACAGCCTCATGCCCAGATGGCCAGAGACTGTTACACAGGAATTCACTGGAGGGTTCTGAAGTTTTGTTTATTGTTATGGGTGGGGTTTTTATTCTCCCAAAGAATTTAATAAGTTCTGAAAAACGTTTCCTTGATGTGAAAGGAAAGTAAGGACACCAGACCAGGAGTCCAGTGCCCTGCAGGACCATCCTGGCCCCGCTCCCTGTGATCTTGACCCAAGTTCTCCATTTGCATGAAGTTCGTGTTCCCCAGATACAAGTACAGAGCAAATGAAAGCAAATACTCCATGTGCTGCAAGGCCCTGCCTCTCTCCTTCCTCCGGGGCCTCTCCCTCCTTCCTCACTTTTTTTTAACAATTGGCCAGGCTAGAACTAAAATATTATTTCATTTCTTGTTATTCATTGAATCAAGCTTGTTCTCTTTTTTTGTAATGAACAAGTTCAACATTTTACATTCCTCTCAGAAGTCAAGTCTAATACACCCTTTAAAGTGTTTATTCACTTGCATGACCCTAAAATTATATTCTACCAAAAAAAAAAAAAAAAAACCCACAATTTCACTGGAAGTAAACACATGAAAAGAACAGATTAAGAGGGAACGTTTTCTCTGCTCTCCCTCCAGTTACTCCACTTACCCCTGGGAACCCAGTATCCACTGGTAACTGAGAGCACAGGTCTACAGACCCAGAAAGATGACAAAGCCACAGGCCAAGGTCAGAGTGCAGACAGCAGAGAGGGTAGGGGGCACAGTGACCTCAGGCCCCCACTGCAGCCCACAAAAAGTATGCTCATGTTTTCTGGGTTACACATCTAAAAAACGATACAGAAGTTCCGGACACAGGGGTAGAAATGGAGTAGATGCCTTAATGCTTACACATTTCCTATTTGGAAATCACAAAGGAGAAAAGGAACAGTCGTCATCTGTGTTTCTTTGAACACTCTCCACTGGCTCACGCACCTCTCTTGCTACAGCCTGGATCTTAAATGTCCCCTTAGGCCCCATGTGTTAAAGGTTGCTTCACACCCTGTGGCACCAATGGGAGATGCTACCACCCTTAAGAGGTGGGGTCTATGCTGGCACACGCCTGTAATCCCAGCAGCTCAGGAGGCTGAGGCAGGAGGATCACAAGTTCATAGCCAGCCTCAGAAAAAGGAAGGTACTAAGCAACTCAGGGAAACCTGTCTCTAAATAAAACACAAAATAGGGCTGGGGATGTGGCTCAGAGGTGGAGCGCCCCTGAGTTCAATCTCGGTGGGGCCTAGTGGGAGAAGTTAAGTCACTGGGCGTGCCCTTATCAGGGGCACTAGGACCAGGACTCCTTCAACCTTCCCTCTCCTCCTCACCATGAGGTGAACAAGCCCTCGTCATGTGCTTGCTGTTGGCGAGCTGTGCTGTGCCACCACAGGCCCAAAGCAATGGGGACACTGGGTCAAGGCATGAAA